CAGAAAACGACTGTCATTTTGGAAATGGGTAATATACCTTATGTGGCGCTTCATTGTGAAGCTTACGATCGAAATGTTGCACTATTTACTCGTCAGAGAGTAAAAAAAGCGAAGAGACCAACATGTATATGTTTGCTAACCCTTGCAAAAGGCCTATTAATAAAGAAAATAGACAGAACTGAATGAAGTGATCTATATTACCTATATTATAACTTATCTACATTTTTATATCTTCATGTATTTCATAAGTGCTACGCGGTCCACATATTCWCATCAGAACTGAATGAAGACCAGTTTAAAAACATTTCTGGACGAATTTGCAGACTTGTTTGGGCGAACGACTTGGTAATTTGCTTCAAGAAAWTTAGCTAAACGTTCGTCAACAGTATAGTCTAATGAAAAAGCAATATGAAAAGATACTGTGGTAGGCAAATTATAAATGACACCCTTTTTCTGTAAAGATGCAGGAAAGTGTCTGAATATATAAAACAGTTAAGAACTGATACAAGAGGCGCTGATGKTGGTGTTGGTSTTGTACAAGTCTATCACAACGGTGAATGGGGAACAGTCTGCGATGATAGCTGGGGCAGCAATGATGCCACAGTTGCGTGTCGTCAACTTGGTTTTAGCAAATATGTTTATTACTTCCACATTGGACGAGGAGAGGGAAGAGTGTGGCTGGACGAAATGCGATGCACTGGCTCAGAGTAAACATTACCTACTCTTAGTTCGACCTAATAGGAATTATAGACACTCCCTTGGGAACATAGTTATTGATGCAATCTTATGTGGTAACATGTTAAAAGCTTTGGAAAAGCTTTTTGAAAGTCAAAATCCCCATCTACACATTTAGGAAATGTAAAAAATAAAGTTAAAGTAAAGTAGTTTTTTAATATATTCTAAAAAAAACACTTTGCTGTAAAATTGTAAAAAAAAAAAAAGTATGTATAGACCGCTAAATAATATTCAGAGCCCGTCGCTTATTAAAAACGCTATATAAAGATATACAACTTCAACTTCACGTGATACAATAGGCTCTGATGTTGGTGCTGGTCTTGYMSAAGTCTATCACAACGGTGAATGGGGAACGGTCTGTTATGATAACTGGGGCTCGTCTGATGCCAAGGTGGCGTGTCGACAACTTGGTTTTACCAAATATGTAGATTACTGGGGCGATGGACAAGGAGAAGGAAGAGTGTCGTTTAGTTTTGCGCATGTTTTTGTGAGCGCTAGTGTCAAATTTTTAAATGGRCTTTCTGTGTTTCAAAGATTTCAATAGCTCACAGTATTCAAAGGCTAATTGGACCATTACAGAATTATAAAAAAAATTAACATAAGGTAAAACATAAGAGTAAAACGTCTATTTCCGGAGTGACGAAAGATTTGTTNGGGTGTATTGAGTTACGATTATTATGTAATGTCATCAAGATATGAAACGTGATCGTTTTACCGATTTAGCATCACCAAGCCGGGCTCCCTGTTGTCTCGTTCGTCTTCCCACAGTTTGCTTATCGAAATGGCGGGTTTTGGATTTTCAGTGTATTGGAGGATCTTGGTCCCAGATAACCTTTGTTCATGAAATTTGAATTATTTGCTATAAATATCACTTGGTCTGTGTTTCTTGGTGTATGTCTATTGTTTAGGAGCTCGTCTAGTATCAAAATGAGCCAGTTTTTTGCCTTTTTGTCCAAGCTAGTCATGACTGATTTGTCTCGCATGAATTTCTTTCAACGCGACGCCAATGAATGGACTCCCTCGCTTCTTGATTTTGTGCAGAAAGTAACTATTTATATCGTTCAACACAGAGGCCAAACCTATAACACTAGTAGGATAACTGTTAGGAAACCTTTTGGGGATTTCGTTTCATTTTTGACATGCATGGATCGCTAGGAATTGCCTTAGGAGATACTATTCACTCAACGCATTTTATAATCATTCAAATCTGATTCATCACCGGCAGCATCTTACTCAAAACGGGATTCCGGATGTTTCGAGTTGGATACCGAGTTCGAGTTCGAGTTGGATTTCGAGTTCGAATTCGAGTTACCATGGATAAATATATTATTTATTTAAACTATTAGATTCGTCACCTCGAATATTCAGGGATACGATGACGAACCATTGCGTTAACAACGAAATATATTTTGCAGATATTTTGCTTTTACAGATGTAATAAAACTTAATATTTACATGAGAACATGAATAGAGTTCACGAACAGCTACAAAGTTACTCAATGATAATAAAAGAAAAGATATCTCCGCGAATCAGCGGCCATCTGTTCATGTCAAGTCATTTCGAAAAAAACAAACTCGTCCTTGTTAGTCCGCAGCCGCTATCATTGTCGTCGCACAACGCTTCACTCCCTTGCCCCATTGATCGTTCCCCGTCCCCGTCACACTCGTCCCTCTGATCGATGATTTTGCTGTAACTTGATAACTAGAAAAACACAAAGTTACAAAATTAACTTACACGAGGTTGAAACTGATATTCGGATATCTGTTCACGAAGTAGATTTTTCAATTTATTATATATAAGAATATAAGAAATACTCTGAAAAATTTCACCAMCATGAGCAAAAGGAGCTATGCAGRTGTTGTTTCTAACAAAGGTAAGGCGGAAAATTCTTTCAAATTGTTTATTCAAATTTATCATTTGTGTCCGTAATCACGTGGATTTGTCTCTACTGTAGGGACTGTAGGATCGTCCCAAAACATTGGAAATATGGGTGTGAGGTGAGAGTTAAGTGTAAAGTTTTTATTGTTATTTTCATTGAACAAATACTGGGATAAGGTTTAAGAATAAATCCTAGTGTAAGTTTTTGTAAAAAAAAATTCTACTGTCATCGTTGCTTGGTACGATCCTTATCATTATGACCCCCAACGCTGYTTTTAGTTTTTTCATACCTGTCGATGATGCTATTTGAAGATTGCATGTTGTGCAGTTTTTTAATGATCAAAACGCCTGTGTTATCTAAAGAAAATTTCAAAGATTTATTCAGTTAAGTTTAGTCTTTTTCTCGGAGGAATTCTCTGAATACACATAAGCCGGAATTTATTGGACAGGCTATTAGCTGGCTTTTTAAAAAATGGTGGTCTTGGGGTGATGGCTAGCAAGATAAGACTTTTTWAARTAACAATAAGTAGTTCATATTTTTTGTTAACGGATGACGCAAACTCAGGTTTGACTTCTATTATCTATCTTTTCTGAGAGCATCTATAGCCTAGCCCAAAAGAAATACTATCAGTATCGGCTTTTAGACATTAGGCTCTTGAAAAGTTAACCGACAACAATGCTAAGAACAACAATGGGGTTTCCGTTGACTGAAAACTGATGAAATGCGCCCCTCGTCCCCCCCCCCCCCGTGTGCGAGATGCAGAGCCACTACCATATTTCGTTCTGCCGATCATTAACTAGATACCATTGTAACAAAATTTGCTTTTTTATACCGAGGAACGCGTTTATTGTCAACGTGATGGAAATGAC